ATTGAAGAATTTCTGAATATTCAAAATTTCCTAAAATTGAATAATTGTAAACATATAGATTTTAAAATTCTCTGGAAATACTTTTACAAACATTATTTTAAAAAATTGATAATTGTTCTTACAACGAATTTTATTACCATTTTTTTAAATAATTAAATAATAATAAATAATAATTAAATATTTATTTTAAAAAGAAGTTATTGATGTTTTCGAATAATTTTACTTTTGAAGAAATTTGTAAATAAATGTATGTAGAACATTTTTTTGAGTATCTAATATAGAGAGTGAATCAGAATATTCTTTAGGGTCGCAGGGAAAAAGTCAAAATCAGTCAGGAATAAGTTTGGGAATCAGGGAAAAGTCAGGGAAAAAGAAAATTAATTTTTTCTGGCAACCCAGATAAGTCTTATTATTTTAAGCCTAGTTTTGACTAAAACAACTACAACTATATTCAACGAATTCTGATTATCAATAATAATGAATGGAAATTCATTACTATTGATAATCAGAATTCGTCTCTTTGATGATTAGAATATCTTTGGTCAAGTGGGAAACAAGACGCCATGTTAGTTGTGTGACAAACAGAGCGACGTTTATGTATTTGAAATAAAATCATTGAGTGTTGGTGCGTAAGTGAGAGGCGGAGCAAAATACTCTGAGGTCAGAGGGCAGAACCAATCACAGTCTGGTGATAACCACTCTTACCTCGATATATATTAAGTATATATATACGTATATTTGCACCGACACAATTTTATACTCGCAAGAAGTTAATTCTCGTATTTATACATAACGTATACGTTATGTTCACGCATGTCGCGCATTTACTTCGCAAAGTAACAAACAATTTTTCTCTATTTTTAATTTTTTAAATTTTTTTCTCCTTCAAAATTTATACTTTCATATATATAGTTGATGGTATAAACCATAAGAGAACTTCATTTAGAAAAGATAATGAATTTCCGCAAAATGAGCTCTATTAGGAAAAAAATAATTACATGTATAACCGCAAAAACAAAATCTAATCAAGAAGATTTTTATGGGAAAAAATATAATTTTCAAATTGGAGAATTTTTTTTTGTTGCACTGCACAATTTTCTTAAAAGTATCAAATTTAAACCAAAGTGGATCGAATTGATAACAAAAAATTTAAATCAATCTATAGCGCAATGTTCGATTTGCAACTATTAATAGTCTATTTATTAGAGATAATAACCAGTTAAGAGATCACAATGTCTGCGTTCGTATAATAAATTGACTATAGTCAATGTAGCTTAATCGCAATCATAAAATATTTTTTTTTCATACATTTTGAATTATCAATCGATGAGCGCTAAAATGTTAAATTTCGAAAAATAATCTGATCAGCATATAACAAAACAGAAACAATGAAAAAAAAGGGTAAAATTTCGTACAGTTTTCAGATGGTGTTACTTTAACACAATTCTGGTGTTATTTTAGCAATAAAATTAGTTTAACACACTACAGTGTTATTTTAACCCCTTCACAGTCGAGTGAAAATAAAGTTTTTGTGCCATAAGTGTTCAAAAAAAATTTTTTTTTTTTAAATCATGATATTGTCATATTATATGTTTTTGAGGTCACTGATTCAAAATCCGTGGTCGAAAAGCCAAAATTCAAAATGGCGGCTTCAAAATATCCACCAAAAAAAATTAAAAAGTTAACGAATTCGTTAACTTAAAAATTTTTTTTTAGCTTTTTTAAAGCAGCCATTTTAAATTTTGAATTTTTGACCACGGATTTGGAATCAGCGACCTAGAAAACCCCCGAGTAGGCATTTTAAGGTATTTTTAAACAGATTCGTTAACTTAAAAATTTTTTTTGGGCGCCATTTTGAAGCCGCCATTTTGAATTTTGAATTTTCAACAACGGATTTGGATTCAGCGACCCCGAAAACCCCCGAGTAAGGATTTTTAGCCATATTCGTTAACTTTTAAATGTCTTTTTTTTCGATGGCCCTATAGAGCCCATGGACATACAGGGCACGACATTTTTATGGCTCTATAGAGCCCACTGACAGTGAAGGGGTTAACACCAAATATAGTGTTAAACTATAACAGAAAATTTTGCTTGTATAGTTTTAACACCAAATTTCATGTTAAAATAACACTTTTTTCTCTGATTTTAAAATCGGAAAAATATTTTAAAATTCTATTGAAAATATTTAAAAAATTTTCCCCATTTTTGCAAAAATAATTCCTAAAACAGAAAAAAGGAGAAAAATTCTAATTTTCTTCTAAAAGATAAAGTTTGTTATATATTATAGAAGAAGTGTGTGGTTATCTTTATACATAAAGAATTAAATTTAGGAAATGTTTTTTCAGACTGATGAAAAGAAAAAAATGCGGGAAAGAACAATTTATCACTCGAATCAATCCAATCGCATTTTTAGAGAGGTAGCGACCACCAAACTTGTGTCACGACTTGCATAATCACACAATTTGTACATGTCACGCGTGTTTCAGGAAGGCACATGTTATCTTTTCTCTATATATACAATATGCTATTAAAAAAAAAGAGGAAATAAATGTCTTACAAATATTTGAAAATTTTGTATAGAATATAGAAATTTTACAATTTTATTAAATGAAAAAGAAGCACTGCGAAAAAATGTTTTCTTCATTCAAATTATAACTTGTCTATTAACAAATAAAATATTTACTCGAATAATAAATATTTTCTTTAAATAAATTTAATAGAAATTTTAATTTTTTCGAAATTCAAAATGGCGGCTCAAAAATGTCCGACAAAATATCTAAAAATTTCGAATAGTCAGAAAAATAAATTCTAGACACATCTTCTCATCATAAATTACTAAAATTATTATACAAATAACATCTATGATAAAATTTTATCACTAGGAGTAATTTAACAACATTTTAAACAATTTTTATAAACAAATTTGTTTTTTTATCACAAATATTGAAAAAAAATTTGTTTGTTTACATATAACTCTTATTTTGATAGTTGCAATGAATTTTGAGGATAAGAATTGTTTAACATTATTATTTGACAATGTTATAAACAATTGTTGTAAACAAATTACATTTTAACAACAATTGAATATAAAAAAACAGTTTTTTCTCTTAATATCCTTTTTTCTATAGGGTTTATATATCTTGAAACTTAAATTTGATTCTAAATATTTTCAACAAAGTTATAAATTGTTTACAATTCTTGTAAACAAATTATTTATTTACAATAACTGAAGGTAATGTGCTGGTATTGACATTACTCTCACATAGAAATGACATAGAAAAAAGGATATTAAAGAAAAAATACTATTTTTTTATATTCAATTGTTGTTAAAATATAATTTGTTTACAACAATTGTTTAAAACTTTATTGAAAAATATTAGTAGGTAAATTAAAGTTTCAAGATTCATTAATCTTATAGAAACAAATAGTAAAGAAAAGAACGAAATTTTTACATATTTACTTGTTAATTTGAAATTTGTTTATAACAATTGTTTATAAAGTTGTTAAATAATTGTGGTCAATAATTATCACCTCAAAGATTCATAAAGAGAATAGTAAAAAAAAGTCAGTGGAAGAAGACACTATTTTTCAGCTCAAATTATTGTCAATTCTTAATTTGTTTATAAAATTATTTATAACATTATTAAATAATAATGTTAAACAATTTTTTTTTCCTCAACATTCATTGCAACTATCAAAATAAGTGCGATATGTAAACAAAAATTTTTTTTTTCAATATTTGTGACTTTGAAAAAAAAACAATTTGTTATTCAAAATTATTTAAATTATTGTTAAATTAGTCATAGTGATAAAATTTTATTACAGAAATTTGGTAAAATTTACTAATGTACTATTGTAATTTCTACTAATTTATTAGTAAAAATTCTTTTAAATTTACTAATGTATTTTTACTAATTTATTAGTAAAATTTAATAACTCCAAAGCAAATAGTAATTCAAATTAACTAAACATTTTTTTTAATTCAAATTTAGTGGGTGGAACAATAATTTTAGTATTTAAAGCAAATACAAATTCAATTGATTTAAATAAATATTAGTTGATTCAAGTAAATATTATATTTATAATATTTATAACGAATTATTTTATATTGAATATTTTTATTTTATTATTTCATAATTCGTTAAATTATAAATTTTATATTTAAAGAATTATTTTATATTTAATATTTTATTTTTATGTTTAATATTTTTATTTAATTATTTTATAATTTGTAAAATCATAAATTTATAAATTTAACGAATATAATTTTTAGAGTTATCTTCTGTGAGTGTTTCGAGAAATTATTATTTGAAAGATTATTATCGCGGGTAGATTCCAGTAGAGGATAAACAATTTACCGTGTGTTAATAATAATGTAACAAATGGTAAAATTGAAATGTGGAAAATTGTTTATTATCCAAAGAGTCTCGAATTGATAGCTGTTGGTACTGGAATTTAGTATAAATTCAACTTTATCGACTGAAAAGTTAGGTGCCTGTAAAGTTTCTGGTATACGTTTCTGCTGTATTTAGCGCTAGTGCCTTTATACTACAATAAAGAATTTCATCAGGATTTTATATTTTGTTATTAATTTATTTTCATTTATTTTTTTGAAATTTTTTTTTTTTTTTTTAATCATAATAATAAATAAATAATAATATATTGTTCTAACATAATAATCCACAATTGTTTTATTTAATTAGAATCATATTTAAATTTAAAAAAAAATTATAGAGAAGTGTAAAGGGAGTTGATTTTTTAAACAATAAAAAGGAATAAACAATAAAGAGGACGTTATACAAAAACGATATGGACAAATTAAATAAGCAATTAATTTAATATTTGTATGAAAGTTTATTATGATTTTTATTCAGACAATATAATAGTTGTCAATTAAAAAAAAATCTTGTCTTAAATGAAAACTAGGTTACCTAAATATTTAAGACAACCTGAACAGTAATTATAATTCTTGCTACACATATTGCACAAATGCAAGAATTGTTCACAAATTTAATTGTTTATTACGATAATTATTTTTTACTGAATATTACTTCAGTAATCGTAAGGATACTGTGACCTATTTTCTAATTTTCGATTGAACCTTTTGAGTCGATATGCTATAACGGTAAAAATAGAAAATTATTTTTAAAAAATTCTATTTTTTACTAGTTAAAAATTATGTATGTACCTGTGTACTTTTTAATTTGATTGTCTCAGTACGTTGAAAAATGAGTAGGATGCTTTAATTACCTTGAAAAAAAAATTAACAGGTAAATTAATTTTTTTTTTAAAATAGCTTCTTATTTAGAACTGTATAATCAGTTTATATACTTCCAAATTTTTTTCCAAATACAAAAACTACTTTTAATAGAGGAAATATTAAATAATAGTAGTAGACTACCTTCTTTTTTTAATCAAAATTACCTTAAAAAATGTTTCTATAGACAGGACAACAATAGAAACGCCAGTGAGTTTAATGGGACGATTGGCTCTCATCATTATTATTATTAATATTTGTTTTGTTTGTATCGATAGTAGATTCCAATCCATTTGATAAATTTCATTTGTAATTGACAAACTCTAATGTAAAATTTTTTTAATTTACAATAAATTAAGAGTTCCAATTTTTTAATATACAATTCAAAGTTCTTTAATTTAAAATAAAAATAATTTACCTTCTTTGTCATTTCCTCTCCAAACAAGCAATAAACAAAAATATGACATGTGAAATTGCTGATTATTATCAATGACAACCAGAAATCTCCATTCTTTGGACTTACTTTCGTCAAATAAATACCGGTGCTGCATAAATTTAAAATTGACACAAAAAATTGGGAAAAGACTAGAAAACCAAAAATGTCATTCAACTTCTTTTCCATTCTGAAATAGAAAGAGATTTACAATTTAGTGGAAAAAAAAATATTAATAAACATTTGTATTTAATAACGTACGAGTGTATTTTCTATGTATGTGAATTTTCATTTAAATCAAATAGTAAGTGATCATTTTTTTGGACTGAAAAGACGTCTGTACTCTACGACAGGCTTGGGAATAAGAGAGAAAGAAGTGCGAATTATTTTTCTTTATACAGCGCGAAGGAATACTGGTGGGGGAGTTTCTCTCTCCCGATGCGCGAGAGCCAATCATTGGGGCTACGTTCCCTCTCTCCCTTAGCTTGCGCATGCGTAGCGCGGAGCAGTAAAGAAACAGCGGTGTCAGTACATTCTACATTTTCATTTATTTTCAGTAAAAAATACGTAAAATAAACACAATTTCTTACTTTAAAAATTTTTTTTTTTTTTTTTTTTTGAAAAAAGAAGCTTAATTTATTAAAGTATGTAAATATTTAATACATTAAATATATTTAAAAACTAAAAATAATCTCAACTTACAAAAAAATACCAACATGATGATCGATACATTCCTTTAAGAATTTACATTCCTCCTGATAAATGCTTCCTTTCTCGCCAATATTATTTCTTATGTCCATAGTTTGTAAAAGACGTTTCAAAAAAATATCAAGATGGGTGCAAATTAATTGCATGAAAATCGTTATTATCGATTCAAATGATGAATATATGAAAACGAGAAAATAAGTTGTTACACACTCCGACATGTAAGTGATCCAAAATATTTCCTTCGAATTAATAGAATAAGGAAGCCATCTCTTTAAGGGTAACGTCATTTCTTGTCTATTTGTTAGAGGCCAGAATATGTAAACCGAAGTTGTAATAAATGTCGTCGAGAGCAATACGCGTACAATGAATCTAAAATAATAAATTTTTTTCATTTTTAGAAATTCTCTTAAATTTTTAGCAAAGTTCTGGAACTGTGGGGGTACCAAAAATTTATAAAGTAATTCACTAACCTTTCTCTATACTGAAATTTTTTATAAATAACAACTTCTTCATCATTACAAGGAAGGTAATGTTCTTGTAAAAATAAATTCACTAATGTAAGGACATCCTGTCGATGGATATTTAAATATGCTAGTTTTAACGTTATTAAAAAAGTACTTGTAAAAAAAATTATGTCCCTTATAATCGCTTCCGGTTTGTGTCTATTTTGATAGAGACTTATTAAAAAGCTTATTACAAAAAGAAAATTATTGCATAAAACAATAATACTGTAGAGTGTATAGAGTCTAATGGCCCAAACCGATGTTAAAAATGTCGGTCTCCACCCTCCAAAGTAAGACATGGTCTTCAAGGAGAATTCAGCAATCTTAACATTTTTTAATTTTTCCATCTTCCTTTACTTAATTTTATTCGGAATTCTCTAAATTCGAACATTTAAATTATAGACATTGACTAAATTTAAATTTAACCTTAAATCGAACCAAAAGTTAAATTCAAAGATAAATTTTAAGTGAAGGAATTAAAAGTTAAATTTTTAAAAAAGGGACTAAAAGAAAGAAAGGGATTGAAATTGATTTGTAGAAAGAAAGACTTAAAAGGAAGGTAAAATTTTATGTAGATTTTATTTGTTAACTTCTTTAGGTCTTGAAATGTACTAAAATCCAGCGATTGAAATAAACTCTCATATTGTTGAAAAGAGTCTTTTATAAAAGGGAATTTTTAATGTTCGAGTCTCGCGACTTATAGATGATAATGAAACATAATTCCCGGGAAGAAATGAATTTATAATGATTCTCGGTGTGTGCTATGAAGAGCGAAAATCATTTCTAATGGTTTACGGAGAAGAGTACATAAGTTAATTATCGTTTCCACATTAGTGAAATACAACTTATGTATTTTTAAAAGCATCTAGTATAGAGACAACTGAAGACAGTGGCAATTATTTTTAATGGTTTAAGACTAAAATGTATGGGTTTTTTTTTGTTTAGCTCTATTTCATAGTCAGTTCTTTAGGGTCCAGCATACAGTTCACTTTGTTTTATTAAAACCTTTTACCTGTTAACTAAGACTAAAACTCTTCAAACTTATCTTTAATTTAAATAATGTCTTAAGGTCTTAAATACTTCTGGATTTAAATCATGACTTCATGTTTTGAATACTTCTGGATTTAAATCATGTTTTAAGGATTTAAGTACTTCTGGATTTAAATCATGTTTTAAAGATTTAAGTACTTTTGGATTTAAGTACACACAAAAGAAATCAGCATCACTAATTAAAATTCATCATTATATCAAAAGTCTAATTTGTCAGAAACTAAAATCATGAATAGAGTAACGAGATCATCATCAGTAAAAACTGTAAGGCTAGTAAAAAAAAAATTATAAAAATAATAAATAAATAATTAAAGATGAACTAAATTCTGCAACGATTTTAAAAATAATTTACAGGGTTGCCATAATAATTTTGTTTTTCCCTGATTCTGTCTCACTCTAAAAATTATTACATTAATTGTTATTTTCATCATTTCAAATCAATAATTATTTTCTACAATTTTTGAATAAAATTCTTCGTTAAATCAATTATTTTTAATCATTTTTAAAAAAGTTCTTTTTAAGAATTTTCAAATCCATTTGTTTACAATTCAATTTTATGTGAAGTTTCAATTTTGCAGAAATATTTCAATTAAATATACGTTAGAAAATAAACATTTGAAATAATTTTAAAAAATTTCGATTAAGCTTTCTGAAGAAAATGAATTCTATTGAATTTATTTATTATTTATTTATTTTTTTTATTTTTTTATTTTTTTTTTTATTTATTTTTTATATGAAAAATTCAAATTTTCAAAGATTTTAATTTGAAACCTTTAAAGAATTCAATTATTTCTAAAAAAAAAAAATTGCAATTAGTAGTAAATTCTCGAAAATTCAATTATTATCTAAAACTTTAACTGAAATTAGTTTTTAAATCAAATTTATTAGAAAATTCTACGAGAATTAAATTATTTAAATACAAAACATAGATAATTTATTGAATATAATATTGAATGTTTCATAAAATTCAAATCTTATAGATACATAATTACATCAACAAATTTTTAAATAATTAAATTTATTATTTGTGAAAATAATTGAATTATTGAAAAGAATTTTATGCAAAATTTTAACACATTTTATTTTTTCAAAAAAAATTATGCAAATTCTAATTTAAATAATTCAATTCTTGTAAAATTTTTATTTTTTTTTTGAAAATTATTGAATCTTTGTGCAGAATTTTATGAAAATTTTGTTTTAATAATTGAATTGTTTTGTGAAATTTTATTAAAATAGTAGAATATTGAAAATCATTGAATTAAGAAAATTTTTTGAAAATAATTGACATGAATTTTATTAAAATTTTTGAAAATAATTGAATTTTCTACTTTTGAAAATAATTGACTTCTCATGATGAATACCTATTATTTATGAAAATAATTGAATTTTACAATGAATTTTATTAAAATTCCTGGAAATAATTGAATTTTCTCAAAGAATATTGATATTCATTTATAAAAATAATTGAAATTTTGACAATTTTTTTTTTATTTTTTGAAAATAATTGAATTTTTGGCGAAGAATTTTATTAATTTTGAAAATAATTGAATTCTTGTGATGAATATTGTTATTTATGAAAATAATTGAATCTTTATAAAAGATAATTAAAATTTTGACAATTTTTTTTTTATTTTTTGAAAATAACTTAATTTCTGAAAAGAATATATCTGACTTTTCCCTAACCAATTCTACCTTCCCTGACTTTTCCTGAATTCCCTGATTTTCCTGACCTATGGCAACCCTGAATTATAAAATACTTTTTTCCAATTCATCTCTTAAATAATTTAAATTTATAGCCAAATGTCTTAGTTTTCTTTTTTAAAAACGTTGCAGACTTTAGTTCTAAATAAATAATTGGACCCACTTCTGCATAATTTTACTTTATTTATATGTGTATCACGGTATCGCATTTTCGTTACATACAATTTCCTATTTACAATTAAAACTACATCGCTCATTTCTTTCTTTTTATGTACAAATTCATATGATTGTTGAACTGAATTTATAACAATTCCAACAATATGATGAAATGAAAAATATAATCTTTAAATCTAAAAGTGTCTGGAATATAAGAGGACGTCGTCGTCGCATTAAAAATGGAAAACCATTGCAAAGCTTTTTTTTATATTCTTTCACTCTCTCTCTCTCTCTCTCACCTGCTGCTTTTTTCAATATTTTTTTTAAGTCTTACAAGATAATATTAATGTATAAAAATAATAGCCTCCAGCAGGCAGCAAAATACACTGCAGGGGCACTAGAGTCCACCGACTGCATGAATTATAATATGTGAGCATTTTTTTTCTTTGTGTCGATTTACTTATGTAAAAAAAAAAATAATAATAATAATAAAGAAAAAAAGGAAGCAGGACGCAATTAATGAAAAACACCGGCGGCGGCACACGTCTTCTGCTTACATAGTTTGGTTTACACAGCGTTAAGATGAGAGGCACTAACGCAATAAGTATAATATCCTTCAGTTCCTATTAACTTATCTACGTTAATCACAAGATTCACAAGTTTGCAATTTTATCATTTTTTCACTAAAGCGCAAATTTTTCTTTTTCTTTTGCGTCAAACAAACAAAATAAAAAATTTCTTTTTCTTCAAAAGTTTAAATTAACAAAATTAACACATCAGAAAAGATTATTATACAAATATTTACACTTTTTCTTCTAGATTTTTCATTTTGCATAAACAGAATATGAATTCTCACTTAATCAAAATATAAATTAAATATTTTTAAATTACTTCCTTTTCTCATTTTTTTTAAATATATTATATTCTACATTTTTCGAAGAAAATTCGCGTGTTGATTTTTGATTGTTAATGTGATTTTTATTTCCTAACGGATAACAATTACGTTTTTAAAAAAAAGAGGAACAGAATAAATTCAAAATCTTTGATTCAACATTCAAAGAGAATCTCTAAGAAATCACAGTCACAATAAAAAGAATATTTTTGCAAAAAAATACAATATTTTAAATATGTGTCGCGCACTGAAGAAAGGTACTTAGCAAGAAATTTGAGGGTTATGTTTGCACTTAAAAGTTTCTGTTCAATTTAAAACTGAAATCAGATTTTTATTATATATTTAATTCAAAAGAAATTGGGTAAAAAGTGATTTAAATTCAGAGTTGATATTTTCTTTAAAAAAAAAAAATTATGAACATAACCTAAAATTTATTGCTTCTTCGGAGCGCGTTACAAATTTATTTATAAAATGAATTAACGTGCTTCTTTTGCGCATTAGGTGCGCAAAATACATAAAAATTCACTAATCAACATAATTTTTTAAAGAGAAAATAATATTCGATTGAGATTATATAAAATAAAATTCTAACTCGCCCGCATGATATGTCAAGTTCTTGAAAACATTGCCAGAAAATTTTTTCTTTCTTTCCTTCTTTCCTTCAATTTTCTCTTTCTTTACTTATTTCTTCTGTCTTTCTCTTTTCGTTCTTTCTTCTCTTTATTCTTTCTTCATTCATTATATTTTTTCCTTTTTTCTCTCTTTCTTCTTCCTTCATTCATTATATTTTTTCTTTTTTTCTCTCTTTCTTTCCTTCTAAGAAAAAAAGAAAAAAAATAGAAAGAAAGAATTCTTTCTTCTTTTTCTTCTTTCTTTTTTTTCTCTTTCTTTACAAAATTAAAAGCCCTAATATCTCATTAACAAAATAATTAAAATCAATTATTCACTTAATAGAGATTTTTTTTTCAACAATAACATAAAATTAAAAGCAAAGCATCGAAGAAATAACACACAACATTAAAAAAAAGTGTTTTTTTTAACTCATTTTAGAGAGAATTTTGGTTTTTTCAAATTTCTTTGTCGATCCTATATACTTTTATACAATAAAAATATATTAAAACAATAAAATCACAATATTTTTATACAGGTAATACAAGAAATGCTTCTTGGAATGCAATACTTGTAAATTTTCATAATATATGGAATGAATATTTTTCATATTTTTAAATTTCATAATCAGTTTTCAACTGATTTTTATTTTCATTTTCTTCACTCATAATTGAAATTTTTTTCTGTCAATTCTTTTTTTTTTATTCTGTCAATTAAAAAGTTAAATTTTCGATTTGTTTCGAAGAAAAATACCAAAGAAGCAATGTATTTTGAGGTTATGTTTGCATTCTTTTTAAATTCATTAGAAATTTAATTATTCAGAACTAAAATTAGTTTTTAATAATTTTAAATCTTATCAGGACTTAGATATCACTGACTTATTGAATTTATCCCTTTTTATTTTCATTTAGAAAAATACAAACATAACCTGAAAAATAGTCTTATTTGACAAATTTATCAAAGAGTGAAAATTGTCAGACAGATTTAAAAATTTCTTATAAAATCCGTAAGTAAAGAAAATATTGCCTCCTACGGTTTGTAATTCCATCCGCGTAACAAAATCGCTTTTATCGATTAGACACTGGTACGGTTTTTTTTTTCTTTAAGAGACTCATCGAATCATTGCAGAATGGAAAAAAATATTATTTATCTAAAAAGAAAATAACTTAGTAGTTAATTTAATTAATTAGAACGAAATCTTTAATCGTATTATATCCAAGTAATGCAAAGTTTGCCAAGCAAACTCATTCTTGAAAACTCGCCGAAAAATGATAATTATTAATTATTTTTCTTTTACCTATTTTATTATCAGATTTCGCCGTTTTCGAGTAAACAATTTCATTTCTTTTTTAAAAAGTAAATTTCATATTCGTTTGAATCGTTAATGACAGGTGAAAGTCGTGCGAGTTTTTAAAAAACGGGACTTTGACCTACCCTTAAGATTCACGAAACGTTGCTTTTAGAATAATAAACATTTATTGAAAATCGTCTCGAAATTTTGTCAAAAATTGTTTTGATCCGTAAAATAAAGTGCACCTGCGTATTTTTGTTAAAATTCGAGAAAAAAAGACTTTTAGAACGAAATCTACTTTACCGACTTTGGAATTTTTTTTCGAAGTTTAACAAAATAATAGCAAAGGCACATTATTTTGTACCTTCTCCAACTTTTGGCAAATTTTCAAGCTTTAAGTTCCTTCCATTTCCACGTAAATCGATCGAAAAAGAGCCTATCAACCTAAAACGTACCCTGAAACTTCTATTCGACGCTATTTTCGACTGTAATTTCTTGGTATTAATTTTTTAATTTATAATAAAGATTTTTTAATCGTTAAATTGTTTAAAACTCTCAACGATTGTGAACAACAACAACAAAAAAAAAAAACATTAATTCACACTTCACTTGAAATTGGATGACGTTCGAGTGAATCGCATTCGGCTAGAGCTTCACCACGTCGAGGTGGAAATTCGTCGGTCATGAGACTCTCGAGTGCAATAGCCGTTGAGTCGATACTATCGAAATAACGCGGTGTCCAAGGGGCGTTAGGACGAAATCTTCTCGTTGGCGATCCAATGATAAATTCCACTCGCGTAGAACCAGTTACCGATGATGTTTCCTGATTTAATGAATCCGGATATAAAGAAAATTCGCTACGATGAAAACTGCCGCTACTCGAACACCATGAATCTGGTGCATCGGAATAGGCCTGGAAAGAAAAGAAAAACAAAATATTTTCATAATTTCAAAAGAAATTTTCTTCAATTTGCGTACATTGAATTAAAAATTGATTTAGTCAAAGAAAAAAAAAAATTGTGAAAATTTATTTTTATTTCACACTCTAATTAAATCGTCAAAAAGGTTTTCTGGAAATATTTTTTATGAGATATCTTCCATATTCGGTAGCGAAATTTTTCAAGCTGACAATATAAAATCATTTTTTTATACAAGTATTTTAAAAATTTTAAATTTGTACATTTTGCTTTTGCATTTCTCACAATATTCTCTGATAAAGAAAAAATGACTGCAATATTCTGCAAATAATGAAAATTACAGTTAATTTTGAAGAATTTTCAAAACCTACAAGGCATATTTTATTTTCTAGGCTAAGCGAGAAAGTGTGAAATCATCGATCAAATTATTTTTTTTTACCGCAATAAAATTGTTTTCTTTTCAATTGAAATCTTTTTTTTACAGGTGGTCGTTGTATGTATTTTTTTTCGCCACTGCAACTAATATAAAATATTTCAGCAAATAAAATAGCAAATAAAATGTAAGATTGTACACACGAATTCAACATTGTCATGAAAGAAAAAACATTAATGTGCTTGTGTGTCAAATTTTAAATATAAAAAACTATTTTCACATATAATGCGACAAGTGTGTTTTTTAAAAATAAATTCTTTAACCCTTTCGTGCCTCTGGTTCATAAATGTACCATTTACAAAATTTAAAATCTCCGAGTAACTTTTAAGCGAATTCGAGCAATATTTAAAAATACAGCCGCCAAATTGGATCCACCATTTTAAATTTTGAAAATCCGACTTCAGATTCGTAATCAGCGACCCCAAAAACCCCCGAGTAATAAGTTTTATGCAATTTTGAGCAATTTTGAAAAAAATTGTCCGCCATACTGGATCCACCATTTTGAATTTTGAAAATCCGACTTCAGATTCGTAATCAGAAACCCCAGAGTAACACATTTTTAAAAAATCCACTTTCTAGGTTTCTCGTGGGCACGAAAGGATTAATACAACAAATTAAATCGAAAAGAATAAAAATTAAAAAAAAACAATTTGTATAAAAATGAACAAACATTATTTGCAGTGAAAAATTATGTGTGAGTTTTTGGTGTTGAAAAAATTGCAGAAAATAATAATATTGAATATTGCAATTATTCCCTATTATATTAGAAGAATGTTGCTTTTGAAAAGAAAAATAGTCCAATTAAAAAATTTCGATTTGACTTAAAATATAATTATCAACAAACTGTAACATTATAAAAATGGAAAAATAGCTCACAAAAAATATTTATAATCACAAAAAAATATAAATAGAAAAAATTTATATTTAAATAATCATAAAAATCGTCAAGCAAATTTCCAAAAGTTCAAGCAAAGAACAAAATTTTCCCAAAAACAAAAAATGGGATTTTCATATATATATACTAAAATAAAAGCAATCTTTTAGCAAATATTTGTACATAATAATCTTAAAATATTTGCACAATTAAAAAAAAAAGAAAAACAATACAAAGAAGGAAAAAAGGCAAGACGATATACAAAGGAATTCGCAAAAAAATAATTTTTGTGGAGTATTTTGTGAATAACTTAAGACTAAAGAAGAAAAAAGTGAATGTGATTTAGGGGTGAAGGGACCTTGTGTCAAGTGAGCTGAAAATAATTTTTGAAAAAGTTGTTTGAGAGAAAAAAAAGATATTTGAGAAATACTACAGAATTTACACCTATTTTCCAAATAATAAATATCAAAATAGTAAATAACATGCAAACTACTTGAATATTATTTGCAATTTTACAATAATTTCGTTATACATTTTCCTAGGTGTCTAAATATGCGCAAAATACCGGAAGCAAAATTATTCAAAAATTCGTTTGCATTTTCTTTTTAATCGAAAGAAACAAGTTTAGAATAAAACAAAATTGCGCATGACATATTTTAAATTAAATTTAGTGAATAGATGTTTTTTTAAATTAAATTTTTTAAATTTTTCTTTATAGAGATCTTTATAGAGATAAAAAGACAAAATCACTTTTTGATGTCAGTGGAAAAGTTAAAAATTTATTTAAAAAATTATTTTAAATTTACCGCGCTTTCATTGTCATGCGCAGTTTTGTTTAATAGCCTTTAAAGGTATTTCTACAATAGCCGCCAGTCATGATCGACGAATTACCAACTGGTGTTTAACATTTTAAGTTGGCAACAAGTTGCGCGCGCATCCACTGGCTCCTATTGTAGAAGTACCACAATAATCTTCAGTGACGATCTTTCTTCAGCCCAGAAACAAAGCAGAATTTGTTCCTTCTTTAAATTTGATAATTACCACAAAAAAAATGCTTAAAAGCAAAAAAAGACGTCACAGCAATAAAAAAAAGAGCAAAGCTTCAATTGCAATAAGAAAAAGTCTTCTTGATGACTTTTTATACAGCTCACTAGCTACTTTAGATGTTTTAAATTATATAATTTACAAACTAAATCCTTCGGAGAAGCATTTGAATATTCTTACCAGAATAATAGTTGTTCGACGATCACACGTGCATGCACATGCCAAAGGAATTTTTTATTTTTGGCGAAGAAAAAAGGTTTCAACTAGCATACAGTTCTACTGGTTTTCGAATAAAATAAATAATAAAACTACAAGGAGTGATGAGGCCACCGCAGGATCAAGCTCACCAATCCAAAAAAGAGAAGCATCAAAAAGCAAATGATAATAAAAGAAGCATAACTTACGAGAGACCGACGAAGAACGCGAGAAGGGGCCATTTTCATAATTTCTTGGCCATGATGGACTCTCGAACGCACACTCGCCTGCGCTCCAGTTTAGACTTTTTCGTAGTGGATCGTAGTCGTTTTTTTTACTTTTAGTTTAGAAAAAAAAAATTATTGAAACGTCCGTCTAATCTATTTTTTTCTTATTTGTGCAGTACAATTGTCATTTTTTTTGTCGATTATGAAATTACATTTCCAAGTTATTTTCTCCTCTCTTTCAATATTATCATAACGCCTACACAGTGTATAAAAAAAAACTAGCCTGGTGCAGTGAAGATTTCTCATTGACTTTTCTACAAATTTTTGTGCGTGTATTCAAAAAGAAAAAAAAAATTCACAAAATGGACTTTAACGACAAATTGAAAATTAGGCAAAATTATATATTTATGAAGAAGCATTAAATTAAATTTTAGATTTTTCTCTATTTGCACCAAGTCTAGAAAAAAAAGATGGTAACAAATTTACGTGTGCGTCGAGTCGAGTCAAAGTGAGAAGAAAAATGTCGAGCGTAGAATCACAATTCCTCCGTTCTAAAGGCACTGGTAACAAGAAGGGCAGTGGAGCGAGTAGTAACTAGTAGTAACGTAAAGCAGAGAAGAGACCTTAATCCAGAGATCGTATTTCCTAATAGCGGATTTCCTCATTTATTGACGAAAAAAAAATTCTAATTTGGTTCTATTATCACAAAATAATAATTCCCAAAGTTCTGCTTTAATATTCGACTGAAAATCAGACAATTGCATTTAAAAACTTTAAGGTAACGATGATTAATATTAATATTATCCATTAATTAATGGTTATTATTAACATTAGCCAATAATTACTGGTCAACATAAACATTAATAATTATTAGTTGATTCCTCTCGTTGTTCACAGTAATTTATCAAGAAAACGATTTTAGAAAAGAAATAAAGTGGACGAATTAGAGGTTAAGTGATCTATTAGTTGACCAGCGGACATTAGTTCGAATTGGCGCCACTTTCGACTCACTATCTCTACATAGATGAGAGTGAGACGAAACAAGGGGAATCACAAAATTCCTCAGGGAATCCCCTGCAAGAATACTTATTTTTGCAGGGGATTCCCTGGAAATTTTCAGTGTTGCCAACCCTCCATCACGAATGAAAAAGAATTTTACGTTTGCAATCCTTCTGCTTTGGCTTTAAATTATTTTCCTATCTTCGTCCAGAAGATAGAAAAAGAATTTAAAGCCAAAGCAGAAGGATTGCAAACGTAAAATTCTTTTTCATTCGTGGGGGTGAATAGAATATCTTGAAATACTTGTTGCTATAAAAGAGGGGTGGTAACACTGGAGTACCCACCAGGTGACGATAACGGTCATTCGTCACCCAGCCTGCAACATTTCCAGTCGAACACCAAACAGTTTTGGAGGAGTATTCTAACCCTTTTTGAAGAAATCCACTATCAGGAAAGAACGTAATTTAGAAATCTCGCTCTGCGAAAGGAAGAGTGTCAGTAGTGGTTGTGAGTTTTATTGGCTGACCCTGGATGGACAATTGTACGTTCAGCTTAAAAGTTAGAAGCGACTATTATATCCCTAAAGAGAAAGGACGATTGGTTTTTTTATTTATTTATGAATTTTTTGTTTGTATGTCGCACTAGGTCGAACCGTTGGAGAGAGGTGACTTCAGCAGCTGCCAAAAGGATAGCTTTGTTGACCGTACCTTGCCGGTGTCGTTATCAACTGTGGTTCGCGCCAAACTGTGAGATCGACGAGCAGGAGCTGATGGTCGACGTGGGGGAGTCACAGGAGATGAACTCCCGAGATGATTCGACTCCAATGAGTCCCTTGTCCTTGAAAGAATTGACGTCTTGCTCAATGAATCTTTATTGGAATTATTACGTGGCAATGATTTATTGAGAGAATCTTTGCCAGTTTCCTTTGCGGATCCATTAGTTCTTTCGGTTGTTTTTGATAGACTCTTGTTGAGGGATTCGCGACTATTGTCACGCGTTTTGGAGATGGGTTTTCCCGTCATACTGTCACGACTAGAGTCCCTCGTCGCTCGTGTGATGGTAAGTGATTTTAATGATTCTCTACTGTCGTTTCTAGCGTGTGTTGTTGTTGTTGGTGGTTTTGGTGCATTCGCTTTGGCGACACCAAGTAAAGGAATTCGACTAGGTCGCCTACGTGGCGATGGCTTTACTTCGACGGCTTGATGATGATCGCGAGAAGATTCTGTACTACTTCCAGGCTCAGGACAGTTCTGCTCGCATCTTGGCAACTCTGATTCTGTTTCGGTATTTGAATCACCTTCCGTGGACGGACGCTGTTGAAAACGCTCCAGAACTCGTACTCTGGCTCGCGTTCCCTCCAATTCGATGTTTCGTTCCGCCAGCTAAAAAAGAGATTTTATTAAAATTGTGTAAGGGGAAGTAATTCGTTTCTTATTAGTGTAAGGAAAGTACGACAATGGACAAAATATAATTATTGATTTATGTGGATAATTTAAATTCTGAAAATATTGTTGTTTGGGGCGAAACTTTATCTTGTGCCGCGCCTGACTTGGCGACTAGCCAATCAGCGCCCCAGCGTCCCCACTACCAGGTCCCGCGCTCCCCACTCTGGCGTTAGGCTATATAAACAGGTGCGCGACAAAATTCTAGCAGTCCAAAGCGGACAGGCGAAGGTGGAAGTTCTTCGCGGAAAGTGGATGTGGATTCGACGGAGGCACCAAAGCCAACTACGTGCAAAAACTATGAAGACAGGGATAAGAGGATCGACTATGGTCATTCGCAACGCTTAAGAAAAGACGTGTGTCAACGTTTTGGGTAAAATTCGCAAAGAAGTTAATTTAAACGTCAGCCACATAAAGGTTGTCGAAGCAAGAGCTACTCAGAAGAAAGACCTATTGATCAAAATCAGTCAGTGGAGTCGCTCAAGGAAAGACGTATGCCGACGTTTTGGGTAAAATTCGCAAAGAAGTTAATCCAGACGTCAGTCACACAAAGGTTGTCAAAGCAAGAGCTACTCAAAAGGGAGGCCTTTTGATCAAAATCGAAGACGACTTTGAAAAGATGGCTTTCACTGCAGAAAGACTGAAGGCCTTATAAGTTTAGCGCAAGCTGCTTTTTATGCAAAGAAAAGTTTGCTGACAAGGGAAACACAAACCATGTCCACGGAAGTGGAACTTGCAGAGTCTTCAGGTAAGCCTTCCAGGAGGCGAAGGAGACTCAAGAATAGATGATTATCGCGACTAAATATGATAGGTTACTAACAAATAGATTAAGGTAGATTGGTAATGACGTCGCTTAAAAATTCCCAGGGGTTTCCCCTACGAAGTTAAAAGTAGACCGTAGTTTCGTAGGATTAGAAAAGCCTATCCAAAGATGTTAGGGGTTTTTAGTGAGTCTACCAGAACAAGAGCTTTTTGCTAAGTCGAGTGTCTTGGACGTTCTTTTATTTCTAATTAATGTATTACTTACTTGAAATCTAAGATCGTCGTTTTCCTCCCGGGCTTTGTCTAATCTTACCGAGAGTGTTTCAGTACTTTTCTCAACTTCGTCCAGTCTCTTTTGTAAGGCCTGTGAAAAAAAAAGACTTGAGTATTCTCCCAGAACTATGGACAAATACTTTTCCCTCCAATCTCAGTAGTTAATGAAAGGGGTAACTCACCTGATTATGGACGGTTGTGGTGATAAGGTGCCGCTGGAGTTCAAGAGGCGAATGCTCCCTAAGAATAGCGGCGATTTTCTTGGAATCGACTTCTCTTACGTTAGCCACCCTAGTAGGTGAAATGAGCACGGAATCCAGTGCTCCCAGTCTTGCTCTCCTATCGTTAACATTAGCTTCTACATTCAAGTCCTCAATAGACCTGGTAACCACATTGGCCACCACATTTTTCTCTATAGTCCTTGTTCTAAACCTATTTTTCTGAGTTTTCGTGGGTAGCACAGAGGCAAAAGCGGATCCCTTGCTCCTGATATTAATGTTACTCTTAGGGGATGAAGTCGTGATGACAGGTGAAATTGGTTGTATCCTCTGCGCACCAGGCGCATGAATCGCGTAAGATCCATCTAAAGTCCCAGCACGTAGATGATCCTCTAAACCAGTTCTAATAGCCGAGAGAGCCGACAATTCTGACTGAAGTTCCTGAGCTCTAGCCCGACTCGATATCGTCTCCGCCTCAAGTTCAGCAACTTTATCCAAGAGTTGCAATTTCTCCCTCTGTAACTCAGCAACCTCGGTGTCCTTCTCACACGTAACCCTATCGATGTCATCATCATCAGATCCAGTGACTCTTTTCACAGCCTCTAAAACATCACCCGAAAGACCAAAGTCCTCTGAAGCAACACTCTCTAAACGACCCTGAAGACTCTCAACCTCCTCTCTGAGTCTTATACCCTTTCGATGAATAACATCCAGGAGATTCCATAATTCGTCTTCAGCCTCATCTAAAACTGGACGTGGACTAGGTGGTCTTGGTATCGCCGTAGAGGCGCTATCCTTAGAAGAAGTCTCCGTACTGAAGCCAGAATCCTGAACGGTCGCGCTGTTCTTATTGCCTCCACTGTGGGAATTGCTACGACTTCTTGGTAATGAAGAAGTAGCTGAAGTTTCGCCTTCTCTTGGCGCGCGTCGTCTTACTTTTCCAGGGTCCCAATCGCTTATTCTACGTGACGATGGACTTGACAATGGTAAGGGAATGTGAGAACTCTGCGTCGAGGACATCACGGATGCATTCGCCGAGCTGGAATTTGCCACCGAGACCGCCATCTTGTGCCTGAGGTTTGGGAAAGTCTCGATGACGAGGTCCCGAAACTCGAGAAGAGCACCGACCTCATTCTGCAGCTCCTGGAGTGCCACCAGGGACTTGGCCTGCTCGTTGATCAAGTAGTGAAACGGCCCAGGACGCAGGGGTATGCAATCCATACCACCACCAGCACTCACCACAACGCCATCAGTCGTTCCACTGCCACACTGCTGCAATCAAAAAGAAAACTTGTCAAGAAATCATCAGAAAATAAGAAAGATTTAGGCCGGTGCTGTCTGAAGATCCCTGCACCGATATTTTACCGACACTTTTACCCCAGACTCAAACCATATGGTGGAAGCAAGTGTTGTGCAGAGTCTAGGCTAAAAGTGTCGGTAAAATGTCGGTGCAGGTATCTTCAGACAGAACCGGATCAATTTCTCCACTGTAAACTAAGGCTTTACTTTGTTCCTCAAATATTTCACTAAACTACTAAAATAAACACTAAATTACTAAACAATTACATCTAAAAATGAAAATCTATTTTAATTTAAAATCTATTTATAATTTCTCCATAATCATGAATATTAGTTTCATCAGTTTTGAATTTCCCTCTTGGAATTCCAATTCTTACACAATAAACCATTTTTTCCATCAATTATCAACTTCGGTTTTATTATCGGAGCGACAATCGCAATTTATATTTGCAATAAAGCATCCGAGACTAGAAGTGAAATCAGCGAACTTTCTTGCATGAAATAATATTGTTGGGCTATTCTTTTGCGACTACACACACGTATATGTGTTTGCAAAAGCAAATATAATGCCTATAACCATCTTCTTTGCATTTATGCTTCGTTGATTTCAATTGTCCAGGTATACTCATTGTCAGTCTTTTATTCAGATTCTCTCAAGCAATACTTTGTATAATTTACTTTAATAATTAATAACTGCAGTATGATTCCAAATTGTTTCTCCATTAGTACCTTTAACTAAAATCTGATCCTAATTAATCTTACCAACAAAATTGACTATGTTCTTATAATTTTACAAATTAACTGCTAAATTAAATTTTTAATTCCCTGAAAAAAAAGTGTCTTCAAAACGTTACACTATGGTTCTAAATGTCCAAAGTCATGTAACGTCAAGATAAAATTTTTTAACTATGGGTTTGAAGGCACATTTAAAACTACAATTTTTCTGCTTTAAAAAACCTTTTGAAATTTGAAAAAAGCTTTATTTTGCCCTAATTTATCGTCGTTTAATGTTTTAAAAGCCGTTGAATTTGTCAATATTTTGTAAACTAATAGTAAACTGATAAATCTGATATTGGATTCGTCATCGGCGACCCTAAAAACCCCCCAGTAACGATTTTTAAGAGAATTTGTTAATTTTCTTGGAAGTCGTCCGCCATATTGAATCCACCATTTTGAATTTTGCAATTCTGGCATTAAATACCTAATCTTTGATAAACAAAATCTAAAATACAACCCCAACATTACCATATATGGAATAAAATAAAAAGGAACTCGTTATATAAGGATAGAATTTTATATTTTCTTTCTCAACGATTATGTATTTAAGGAAAGAATTACAAAATTCAAAATGGCGGATTTAACATGGCGGACAAATTTTTAAAAACTCAACGGATTCGCTAAAAAATCGTTACTCGGGGGTTTTTAGGGTCGCTGATTACGAATCTTAAGTCGGATTTTCAAAATTCAAAATGACGAATCCAATATGGCGGTCAAATTTTTAAAAAATGACTGGATTCGCTTAAAAGTTGCTACTCGGGAGTTTTTGGGGTCGCTGATTACGATTCTAAAGTCGGATTTTCAAAATTCAAAATGGTGGATCCAATATGGCGGTAAAATTTTTAAAAACTGACTTGATTCGCTTAAAAGTTGTTACTTGGGGGTTTTTGGGGTCGCTGATTAAGAATTTGAAGTCGAATTTTCAAAATTCAAAATAGGAACATAATATTTCTACTAAAATGTTGGTAAATTGACTACAATTGCTTATTGAAAGACAGTGACCACGTTAAAAAGATTAATTAAAATATTTAAGAAATATAAGTTTGCAATTAAATTTAAAAAAAACGAAACAAGAACAAGTTTCTAAAATTTTTAATCCTTGTCCAAAATAAATGAATTATTCTTTTTCCATTGAGACAACAACCATCAATAACAAAAAAAAAAACCACGAAAAAAGTATCAATTCCGTTGACCTGAATCATGTTTTGTTTTCACTGCGAGGTGTGTGTGTATATAGTTTGCTTTCCATTGCACGTAATTGGTCGACAGACAAGAATCCCGATCAACGTGTTACGTTATTTCTCGGCCTGAGGGTTCTCTCCAAGAAGTGGACGTCACGATTTCCAACAAGTGTTCACAATTAGTTTGATTATAATTTTCCACGATCGTAACAAACTAACATTGTCCACAACTTTAGTGAAAGAAATATTACCAGAAGCTAATTTGCAGACAAAAGGACACACAAACACACAAGATTTGCAATAAAAACGTGATCACACGATTTTTCGAGTCACGAATAATCGATGCGTGTCTAAAAAGGTTTCAAGCCTTCTAAGGAAGTGCCTCTTCTTCATCAGCTGAATTTAATAATTAAAGATTGTCGATATTCAGTCATGCGGGAATTTTCCAAAACCGGAACGATTCTTAATATTATACATACGGTAATAAACGGAAACCAACGCCTTAAGTTCTTAACCATTTTGCAATTAATTAGTTTTACTTATAATAATAATAATAAGATGAAGAAGAAGAAGAATAATTAAAATAAAGGGAGTTCAAGAAAACACTATGAACTCTTCAAGAGCAATTGGAGCGAGAACAGAACAATTTTTCAAAAGTAGAAAATAACTATAGAAATCTAATGAAGAAAAAATGTTTTATTATATCAAAATGAATTTCGAACGAAAAATGCAGGATTCATTAGCACTAATGCTTTCACTTCAACCGAGAAAGTTTCTTTGTGATGGTGAATTTTTAAAAGAATATATTTTTTTTTAAATTTAATGAATATAACTCATAGCGATCCATATATACAATTTATCTGCCTTATTGAATTTATAAATAATCCTTTGATCCACTAATCATTCACTTTAAAGAAAATTAGTGACGAAAAAGGAAAAACTATGATGGACAATAAATTAAAACATTAATAAGCACCTTCCGAGTATAGATCAAATTAGAAACTTTGAAAGCAATAATACCCCAATGGTTTATCGTTAAAAAACTTTTTGAAGAGTTCATATAAGGATGGCGCAAGTATGCGTGTGTATGAGAGTTGTATAACTAAAGTAGATTCGATTACGAGATTAACGGTAATTAAAAGTTTAAAGATTTCAAGTCTGATTTCAAAGTTGATCGTAAGAAGTTTTAAACATGCACACGTGAGGTGCACATCGCGTCGTGATTAGTCAAGCGGTTAAACAGGAAAGTGTATATATATATATATATACACTATAAAGATATAAATTTAAGAGAAAACGAGGCTTTTGTGTCACAAAGCAGCGTAATAACTCTCGGGAGATAAGCGGAGAACCACAGAAGAGAATTATGACGGATCAAGTTCAACTCTAGTATGGCAGAAGTCAACAGAAAACAGTCGTTTCGAAAGAAATCTTTGTCTTTTAAAATGACACAAAAGAAAGGGAGCCACACCCAAGTTGAGAAAAATTAATTTCTTTCATATCCAAACACTTTCTTCCATCGTTATATATTTATATAGAAAAATTCAATATATAATTTACAAATTGAATCTATATTCGAAAAAAAGTTCTTTGACAATTTTCAAATTCATTTGTTTACAATATTCAATTTCACGAAATTCCAATTATTCATAAACTCTTCCATTAAATATAATTATATATGAGAAAATAAAGACTTCAAATATAACACTTTCAAAATTCAATTATTTCTAAAAAATTCACGCTATATATTGCTTTTAGTATTCAATTATCTGAAATTAATTTTAAAATCAATTTTTATTATAAAATTCTACTAGAGTTCAATTATTTAAATTCGAGGAATTGATTTAAAAATTGTATTAAAAATAATTGAAATCCTCCGATTATTTTATTATTTATGAAAATAATTGAATTCCTAAAAAGAGTTTTATTATTTACGAGCTTTACGGACCTTTTTTTTAAAAAAAAAACGGACTCTTACCGTCTTCGAGTAAATTTACGGACCTTTACGCGATTTACAAACCTAGTTTGAGCCCTGAATTATTACAAACAAAAACAGTCTCGATTCGATGCTGCAAACAATGATATTCAGAGCAGAACAGAAAAAAGTAAAGATAGAAATTTAAACGTAGTGATTTTTGACTAGACGCGGATACATTGCTCTAAATCAATCAAGAATTTATACTTTTGTTCTTCATATTAAATAAAATTTTATGGTGCCTACAATTTTGGATATTTTAGTTCTTTTCTTTTTTTTCTAAGGAATCGAAGCTTGAAAAGAACTTCTACATTCGCTCAATGATTTACTAAGAAGAAATTTCTTTCGTAGTGCCCTTCGCTGTCGATCCGGTCTTTTATGGCCAATTGGTTTTTCTAGTCTGCGAAACATGAGAGCGCTATCGAGAAAGTACTGTGCACTGCCCTTAAAATGTTTGCCATCAAAGGCGAAGGATTGAGAGACACGACAGTCTTTCAACCCTGAGTTGTGATCAATGACAAAAGATCCGGAAATAAATCTTTTCAAATTCAATTTCTTTTCATACTGAAATTATATTCAGTTCAATTTTTTCCTGTACGCATTTGACAATAAGGTTTCGATTTCATTAAAAAAGTTTGCACCTGAAGTCATGACGCCAACCAGGAAAAAAGTGTTTTTGTAAATTATTTTCCTATTTAGAAAAAAAGAGTATTTCGGGTTTTAAACATTCAAGCTGCGGACTTAATAAAAAAAATTCGAACTATCATCTAATTTGAAGTTTAAGCTACTGAACGATTACCGGTAAAGAGAATGATTTGATTAAGAAGCTTAAATAAACAGAAAAGATATCCTTATCCGGTTGTCTCTTGCTGTGGCATGGCGCAAATATATATATACGCTTGGGTCAATGGAGACCCGAGTATACAAAGCAAGACCATCATGATAACGAATCAGGCTTTTGTTCGTAAACGATGATTCATGCTTGATGTTCGAAAGAGAAAAATCTTCATTCGTCCGACGAGTCTCCAGTAATTTTCACA